CAGTCGACAACTCGACGTTCGTTTACAAATGTTATACCGGAACGCGATGAAATCGCGCGGCACACATTATTTATGCCGGTTTATTCGATGTCCGACCAGTTTTTTGCGCCAACTGTCAGTCGCTTTATACGTGTTGATGAATTTGGACTTCAATTCATTTATTGTCATCATTCGTTGTCGAAAAGTCGGGCACTTGAGAACATGACGAATGACATGATCGATCTATTGAATTATAAATTATCCTAAAAAAGGAAGATAACATGTCAAATACACAAGAAAGTATCTTTACTTGTATGCGATAATTAGAATTTAAGAAAAAAACAAAAATTAAAACGTACACTTGTATATATTTGATGCTTTTTATAAAATGAAAATGTTTATCATTCACCAGATGCACAACAGCGAAGTTGATTACGAAGATTGCATTGATTTGTAACAAATATAAAATAAAATTTATAGCAGCAATAAATAAATAAATAAATAATAAAGAAATATTTTTATTATAAAACATTTAATATATATTTTGATTATACTAAAATAGGCAATATTTTTAAAAATAACTATTGTATATATTGAATTTTATCCAAAATTTATAATTAATAATTATATAATAACATTCAAAATTTATATATGTTATAACTCAAATGACATTCTTTGATATTAATTATAATGAATTGATTAATTTCAAAATATTAATTATATATTATACTGTAAAATAGTATTCATTTTCATATATTATATAAATAGAGGATGCATATTATGCGTACTGCAAAATATACTAATTTATTCTATACCTTAATATTATTAATATATTTATATTGTAAATACTTATTATTACATTATACTTATACTTATTATACTCTCTTTTTTATTAAATGTGTGTGTGTGTAACATAATCAATATTAAACTAATAAATAATTTAATCGAAAGTTAACATTAAGATTGTAGTATAAAAAAAGTACTGTTAGATTTCTCAATCCTAGAGATACATTAATTAAAAACGTTTAATTAAATACATGACGTAAGAGAATTTCGGATAAATTACTCGGCAACATCTGGATGATATGCCGTAAATGACACGTCACTCACTTTTTATGTATAACATTTGTCATTATAATACCACTATCGGAGATAGTCAGACAACCACACACTCACGGCATCTCTGATCACTACATTGCTTGATTTCAGAAATGACAGAATTGTGTTATAGTGATATCGAAATAACATGCCTGTATTCTCTGCATACATCTTGAAATGTCGAATATTAAGAGGCATGCATTGTACTGAAGCACGTTATTCGCATGTTTATCGACATTACGTTCACGTATTTTCCCGTGGATGTGCATACTATTACTCTAAGGCCACTTTAACCCCCGCGAAGCGCATTATATAATAAAATTCTCTCTGTATAATTTGCTTATTTATTAACTGTAAAGAGAGAGCTTATTTGCGAGACCGCAAAATTGCTTCAATTACCGTCCTTTGTAGCGGCGATCCGGGACACTTCCTCCACGTCAATTATATTACATCGTGCACTGAGGTCGAGGGGGTTAGTTGATTATCGTTGCGCGTACAGAATATCACGTTCGACTTGCTGTTGCTTCGAGGAGCAAGAATATTATGCGGAGAAATGTACAAAGAGCGGGCGCAAGTGCGATACGTTTATAATCGTTTGATGCGAAGACACGGTAATTTGTGCCGTATGTACGCCTTTATAATGGAGCACATTTATATTCAGCGAAGAAACAAGCGTATCATCGCCCTCCCCTGTCGTCGTCGAAACAGCGGTTTATATCGTTTCAAAGGTTTGCCGGATGGTTAATAGCGACAAGGCTTTAATACGCGTATTTCCGTAGAATTTCTCTCACTCACAAAAGAAAATCCAATTAGCGATGTATGGCGAGTGCTGACGCGGCCCGTATTTCCCTTTACGCGCGTTCATTATCATAGCGCAGTCCATTAATCGGGTTATCAAATGTGGCGAGGTCGATCGTTAACGTCCATCCTTATTCGACACCGCCATAAATCCCGCCGATCAAATTACATGTCGTGAGTAATGGGCATTTACGATAATAATATATATTATATTATTATAATGATACTTATCTTATTAACTACGTATATATATATATATATATATATATATATATATATATATATGTGTGTGTGTGTGTGTGTGTGTGTGTGTGTGTGTGTGTGTGTGTGTGTGTGTGTGTGTGTGTATAAAATATATGTAATTATATGTACATATGTGATAGCTTGTTAATCGCATACCACGTATGCAGTTGTAGCGGATTTGCAATTTACGCGTGATGTCATTTGTTATTATAAATAAACAAATCGTGCATGAATACATCATTCGTGTGTGTGTGTGTGTGTGTGTGTGTGTGTGTGTGTCTATATATATATATATATATATATATATATATATACATATACATGTTTGTGTGTGTGTGTGATATCGTATAATGGACTACACTCCAATGAATATGCTAATCATCGTCGCTAATGGAAAGCTGCGAAATCAAAGAAAGATACGCATGAATTTGATTTATAATAGCGTCATATTTTACGTTTCGCTCTCACAATGTAGGAAAGGCGAAAGGAATTTCCGTGATACATAGCTTTGTGATATTTCTTATCGTTTCACAACGAAGAAGACAGAGAGACGCCTTCCAGCGTCAGCCAACTTTCGGTTGACTCTCTTTCGTGAAAGCAGCATCTCTCTTGGTGCGCGTTTTAAACTGGAAAAAAAAAAGATTTTATGTCAGCTATTTGAGTATGATGTCGACGCGACGTTGCTCTCTAAATATAAAATACGAATTATTAAAGAGGGAAGAGCTTACTATAATCCTTTTTCCGATATTCATAGATTATAGCGAATAATAAACAAATTGAAAAATGATAATTATCGGAAATTATTGTATTAATGTTGCAAAAAATAATAGTTTCTTTACTGATTACTGTTTTTATTACTTTCATTATTCTTATTATTTTTTATTGTTGCTATTATTTTATGTCAGAAACACTTGACGAAATTTTATACGAAAAGACCTGCGCTTAAGAATCGCTTTTCATGGAATGGACGAGTCTTTTGTAGAACTCTGGATTTTCATTAAGCCAGATAATCTTAAAAAAGATTACTATTGGAGAAGGAACAGTTAGAATGAAAGGAAATAATACAATCTGATCCAATTTTGCTTAAGAATTCACGAATATTATAGTGATGCAATGAGAACTTTAAAATATCTTTAAAAAATCATCAGAAAAATGTTTGACACAGGAAATTGTCGGAGTATGCTTTTATGCAGTTTAATATTTACTTTAAAAAAAAAAATTGCAGTGCGGGAATAGTACGCAAATATTGTACAATGTTTATGTTTAGCCAACAACATAAATGTAAATTGATATGAGTAACATGCAACTTTTTCGAAAATTGTTGACATTCATAATAAAAAAGAAAAAGAAGAAAGTTTGATCCATATTTCACATATCATACAATTAATCAATTTTAGAAATTTATAAAAATCTAATTATCTTGTATTAATGCTCCAAGCAACATATATATGTAATTAAAGCATTATTATTCGAGGATAAGCATATTTTCAATTACATAATGTGATTTAATTTAATATCTACATGTGTCATTTTCTCTCTATTTTTAGCATATTATTATTATGTTCTTGAAATAATAGTTTGAGAATTAAGATTTTCGTTGAAAGTAAAGAATTTTCATCTCTGAATCCAGAGATAAAAATTGATTCTCTCAAACGAATCAAGTACTGCGTCTCGATGTCGAGAAAAGCTCGCGGCAATAGTGCCGTGTATCTCACGGGAAGAAGGAAGCCATTCGATGAGGCGCCGGCTGAGAGGAAGGAAGTGATCTTATACGATCTCCCGGATCATTTTTCAATGCACATTCTACGTAAAGATGCGCCGGTCTATTAATACGTAATCGGTTTTATAGCATTACGAGTCATCGTGAAACGCCATTTGGAACTCGTGCTGATTTTTGCAAAATATAAATACGATATTAATTCTACTTATTCTAAACAAGATACCACTATAAATTGCGTCTCCATTAAAAATAGAGAGAGAGAGAGAGAGACTTAGAGATGATAAAATCTTAATTAATAACTAATAATTTCTCTTTTTAAAAATGTTGCTATTATTACTTTTTACATTTATTTTTTTTTAATAATTTCGAAATGACTCTTTCTCTCTTTCTTTCTTTCACATGTGCACGCAAAATGCCAAGCTTTGTTATATCTATTCATACATAAATATGAATTTGAAATTTGCATGTTTAATACACATTAAAAATGAGTGCTTATTGTAAGTCAAATGATTCTATACTTTTATACTAAAATTTAGTTTGGTTAAAAGTAACTATTTTTATTTTACCTATTTCTGTCTTACTTATATATTGCATAGACTTTTGTTATATTTATAAATACACTGTACAATTATTTTTGTGTTTTTATTTTCATAAGTATCTTCGGACTATAAGTTTTTGTTTTTCAATATAACTACGTAATTTAATTTCTACATATATACATATATCATTCTCTCTTTACATGGATTTTTGGTATATTTTTATTACGTTCTGTTTTTGAAATCATCTCTCGTTTGAGAAAATTAAAATGTTCGTTGGAAATAAAGAATTTTCATCTTTAAATTTAGAGATAAATATTGATTTTCTCAAACGAATCAGGCAGATAATGTATAAATAAAACTATATCGCGCGTTTATATGATTTAAAAATACGAGTTTACATTATCCATGTATGTTTAAAATTTCTTTATTATCGCATTCTTTTTTTGAGTGTCTCCGTGTGACATTTATCTTACTGTCTCGGAAGTATATCTCAATCTAACATCTGTATTCGTCTCGGAACCGGAACCGGGCGCGGATATACGCATGTATGTATGCGCGGGCACGTGTAAGCAGAGCGGGCCCGCTATATAAAAGCCTAGAAAATACGCTGGTAGGTTGCAGTTCTCATCTGGCCGTCTGAAATACCGTAATGGTGGAGATGACTTTCAAGGTAGAGTGTCGAAACTCATCGCGAAAGAAGGAAAAGTGACGCGGCGCGGAGAAAGTGCTCGTTAAAGAATAACTCCGCGACATTCGGACGAACAGAGACAGATATAGGGGACAGTAAAGAGAAAGAGAGGGAAAAAAGAGAGTGAAACATAAGGGAAATTCTCAAAAGAAAATAAGAACGAACGGCACGACGGATTCTTAATTGCCTCGTAATTACGAAGGTGTAATTGGCACGCGCGCAAGGGTTGAAATAAATAATTCGAGATGAGGCAGAAGGAGAAAAGTAGTTCTATACAGTCTGTCGGAAACCCGAGTAACGCCAACGTCGTGAATATAAGATGAAATTAAAGCGTTCCTTAACATTCGGGTCTGCTTGATGTAATTAGTTCGTTTAGTTCGTTAGACGAGTCGTATCTCGAAAATACGTTCTTACAAAAAGGTACAAATTCTAAGATTGAATTCTGTATATAGGAAAATTAAAAAGTGCATCCTGATATCTATGGCAAACGCTTTTTCCGAATCGAATTAAATAACTATTTTTATATATTTATTTATAATATTTATTTATAATATATATTTTATGTATTTATAATATATTTTATATATTTTTTTCGCTTAATCTTTAGACTTTTTTTCTTACATCAAATTTGCCTCTATTCTTTTATTATAGCAAAAAGTTTTATTATGTTTCTATGAACATATAAATATTTTTTTGTTTTATATATTTTTTAAGTAAACTCACATTTTATTTCTACTGTACAAAAAATATTGACGTAAAATTTGCAGGATTTTAATTTTTGATTTAATCATTATAATAATAATAATCTTAAAATTTAATTATCTTAAAAAATATTTATATATTACATACATTCTTTGAATTTTGGAGATTTATGATATGTGATTCGAAATATGATTCATATTTGCCCTTTGATAAATATTTAATGATACATTCGGTATACATAACACTGTACAGTTACATAAAGCAATGTAAAGTATGCAAAATCTTGCATAGTGCATCTCAACATACATATATTCCATCTTTTTGCATATATTGTACTACATTTCTAACTTGGACGTATATTCATAAACAGTAGTTCAAGTTGTACTTCTACGTGCATGAACAATTGTTCTAACATTGTCTATCCATGTTGTCAGTCCTGGCAAAATTTGCATAAAGTAACTTTATAATTCGCGGTATAACATTAATATAACTTCAAATCTCGAGAGAGAGAGAGAGAGAGTATCTGTCTTTAACTATTTATAAACTATTATGATTATGCTGGCAGATTCATTTTTCTATTGGACGAGTAACAATTTTGTTTACGTTACATTTATTTATAAGTTAAAAAGAAGGGAACATCAAGCAAGAAACGTCAATTATAACAAAGACAAGATTGATAAAGCGTAAGCAGAGACGAGGAAACGTTTCTTTCATTACGTCTATTTCGTCTTTTCAATCGAGCCACTTGAATCGGTTCGTGTTGGTTTGAACGTTGACGGCCGGGCTCTCAGGACTTCTGTAATTAAAAACGAGAGGTCGATGAACTTTCCCTCTCGCGAGAGATATGTCGATATCGTAAAATTCTAGAGTTTCATCATGGCATCGAGTGAGTTCGTATACACAGGCAACATCGATTGCGTATAGATCACGGTTACATTTCAGCGCAATTTCGACTCATCGAACATTCTGCTAGTTTGAAATGTTCCAATTTGTTTGGTCGTTTATATACGTCTGCACGGAAAGGTATTTGATTAGAATGGCTAAAAAAAAAATGTTTAAATTACAATCTTTTTCGCACTCGGCGATTTTTTACCCGATATTCGGAGGCATTACTCCACAAAATATCGCCGAAAAAAGCTTCTCCAAATGAGAAGGAGGAAGAGTAGCCCGATAAATATAACCAGCGCTTATGTAAATTAACTCAACGGTTCGTGCGGTAACATGCGCTATTTACATCCATGATCGATAACTCGATTGGAGAATCGAGAGCGTGCCATTCCGTACCGGAGGTGAATCTCCGGGATGGCGCGACGATGGTCGTCGACATAAACTTCTTGTGTCATAGGTCAACGTCGCGCTAACCATCGGCCTCGCCCTGGTCAATCGATCAATCACCGGCGTGATACCGCTGGACAGCGGCGCTCACCACGATCATCGCGTCTCGGTCGCCAGTTCGTACATGCACTTCCACGGGCCGGTGGAGGGTCCGGAGTACGAGGTGAAAGTGCCGCACGTTGTCGTCGACCACTTCGCCGAGCACAATTATTTACACGGCCAGGACCATCAGGAACATCGCCAGCATGACGGCTACACGGTCGATTACGTGGGGAATCCCAAGTACGACTTCTCGTATGGTGTCGAGGATCATCATACAGGCGACTTTCACGGCCAGAAGGAATCCAGGGACGGTGAGTCAGTCACTTTTACGCCTTCGTGACTTTCGCGCGCGGATGACAACGGCCTCTGGGATGCTGGGGGCTACCTGTGGCGTCGTTTTACCCGATTTCCACCGTGACGTCGGCAAAAATTGCTACGGGTGAAGAGAAAATTGCATTTCCGCAAAGGCTGCCCGCGAACGCGCCCTCCCGAGCATGTGGCTCTATATGAACGAATGCGAGTTTCGTATATGTGTGTATACGAGTCGACGCTCTCTTCAGTCGAAACTACGTTTTCTCACTTGGAAACGTGAAGTTGACTCGAAGAATCGTAAACTGACGTCAACGGCGACGATATGATATCGTAGTTGTGTACAAGGACCCTATATAAAGTTACCGAAAGTCAGCAAACTTTACAGGTGTATTTCCTGACCAAGGTTGGAGTCAATTTTTTCCCAATGAAAGTATGGTATTATTTAGTTTAGCTTTCTTTGAATTATATACGTGATAGAAAGTGAAAGACCCTGCAAACATCTCGAAAGTTTAAATAAGTAAGGGAATCTTGGTCTCCATTTAAGTATACCATTAAGTATATCTTACTTGTATAAAGAGAAGTTTAATTTTTAAGTATCAAATAATATTCAGTATTACGTAAATATATATTAAAAGCATCCTTTCATCGAATCTTTTACTTCGAAAATTAGTTTTATCTACCATTCGATAAATCGATAAATAATGTGATATTACGAAATATATTTTTATATTTTGCTATGTGTTTTTTGTTATCAAATTTTTCTCTGAAAGAGCGAGAAGAACAATATATTGATTGACATGATTATGTTACTAATTTAAAAAAAAAAATAAGCATTTTTCTTGAAATCGATGTTCGTCCTGTCGTGTAATTTAGAAAAGGGAATCAAGAGATACTCTGTCTTGTTATCGAACATCTTTCTTTCCGTAGGAGGTAGCGTGTCTGGAGAATATAGCGTGAAAGATCCAGGTGGCACTTTTCGGGTCGTCAGCTACCACGCGGACAAGGAGGGATTTCACGCGGTGGTGCACACCTCCGGGAAAAACGATCATTCAGGCGGGGTATACGGCGGTCAAGGACAAGAAACGGAATCCCAAAGTCCCTTTCATGAATACGCCGCCGCGCTATCCGCACACGCGGGATATTGAGTGACATCAGCGATGGCAATTATGACTGATCGTTTTCGCGCGCGTACCTGGTATAATTAAATTCTTCCTCCTAGATTGTCAATATTGATGCGTGTCCATTTTGTATACCAAAGGCAACAACATGCTATCCGTTCGATATTATAAATACGCAGAAATAACGCACCGTTGTAAATATTGTTTATCCTCTCCAATATACGATACAAGCTCAATAAAAGGTACATAATTATTTTGCTTATATTATACATGAAAGTTATTGATAAAACGTGATAAACATATAAACTGCGCATAAATAAGGATTTATGCAAAGCTAATAGAATTTTTGGGTAATTTAGCGTTCGCTTAATAATAATCGAAAAATATTGTGGTGATCAAAAATGATTTTTATTATATGTATCTGAGTTATTCTTTTTATATTTATCGGAAACCAATAACACTTTAATCGAGAATTTGCATTTATTTAAAAACTCTTATTAAAACGCCAGGAAAAATTTAAATACATTGGGGGGGAGCCATCCACAAATTATACTTATTTAATTTCCGAGAATTTCTGCACTTTGAAATTTCCTAATAGTCAAACATTTGATTTTAAAAATAGTCAAACATTTGATTTTAAAAATTAATAAAATATTTGAGAAGTATATGTAAAAAAAATATGTAAAAAATATGTTAAATATGTAAAAAATATAATAAAATGTTTATATTATAATTTTGATTATATTCTCTTAATATTAGATATATTCGAAAAATATAACAATATTATTAACGTACACTTTATGTTTTTATAAATTAATGCTATACATGGAAATATAAATATACATTTCATTTTGTAGAATCTCTTTAAAAAGCTAAAAAATATATATAGAACAAGCGTTTAAACTTATTAAACAATCGATGAATAATTGAGATATAATTATGTAAAAAGTGTATATATATATATTCATTATATTATTTTAAAGTCATGCATAAATTGCTCGTTATATTTTAGTGAGACATGACATGCATATATTATAAAAGGGTCGAAATCGGTATTACGAGATAGCACCTTATTAGTGTGCTGGCGATGATTAATATTGGAAAGCAAAAGTCCGCGCGAAATATAGAGATATAACGACGGGGATCGCGCCCTGTACTAATGAAAATAAACTGCGCATAACGGGAGAACGAGTAATAATTTCTGATGCTCTCAAGTGCGAGGAGATTCCGATTGCCGCTAATCACATGGATTACTCAGTAACGATGGTGTAGCGCAAGGTCGGTCGCCAGCGAAATGAAAATCCAGGTCACGGGATTGAATTATCTATTGAATATTACAGACCCGTGGAGGCTACGGGTTAAAAGTCCGTGTCTCAACGGCGCCATTATAAAATAATCGTGAAAAAAGCGCGCTTCCTTTAATATGTTTTAACATAGCGTTAAAAAGCTCATTTAAAACTTCGTAGCGCATAACTAAATATCGCAGCATCCTACCTAATTCAATTTTCGATGTAAGGAATATTTTTTTAAACATACAAAAAACTGTAAACATTTAGTTTAGGAAAAAGATATTAAATATTGGAGTAGCACAATAAGACAAAAATCACATGAGATAGATATCGCCTTGCGATGTATAAACATTTCAAACAAATCAATTTTTAGAGGAAAGAGCTAATGAAAAAATTAATGAAAAATACAGCAGACTTTATCTCGCAAAATCAAAACATATGAGTTGCAATTTAATCTTCGAAAGCAATTTCCCCGCAATGTATTAACAAATGAGAATAGAACAGAGAAGGAAAGGCCATTTAATTTGATTTTACGTCAAGAATAGTTATTTCAAAAATGTACACATTACAGTACATCTTGTGCAATCTATTTAATAATTACGAAACGTCATTATCGGGAATATTTTAAAGAAAAATGTAATCTGGGTCTCAAAGATGCGGTAGTGTACACGATTCACGAGGAAACTGCAAGAAACAAATTTTTAATCTACGTTAACAACGACGAAGATGCACGTCGATGAAGAGGTAAGATGAGAAAGAAGCTAAAGATGGCTGAAAAAAGAAGAGAGAAATTCTCATGTGACACGAAGGCTCGAAACACATTACGTTATTAGATTAATATCCGATAAAAATTCGCGATTCCGACAAGATAAATCGTTGCGAGTTGAGATAAATGCTCACATCGATGGAGAAATATCTAATAATTTTATCACGGATCGTTCAACTCGCGTTTGCAAGTTGCACGTATCGGAGTCGTACTTTATGCGCCATCGTCGTAACATTTCAAACGATGTAAACGATCGCGATAATGACTGCATATATAGATATTTCGTGCTTCCAGCCTCGGGAGTCGAGTCGGCCGCCCGCGGTAATTTCCGCAGCGTCGCACGAGCTACTAATTACTGCTGGCATCGTGCTGATTATTCCTCCCGCTGCTGCTCGCATCTCCCCAACAAATCGCTTGTGATCGAGCCGCTGCTACGTGAACATCGTACCCGTTGCCTGGCAAAGACGAGTTTATATGCTTTACTTCCGATGATCTCGAACAGCGTGTTCGAGCTTTAATCGAACATTGAATATCGCATCTTCATTAATACCGAGAATTTCGTACGTTCAAATATAGGTCTCTTTCAGCGTAGAAAATTTGGAAATTAAAATTTTATTGTCGATTAAAATAAGCTGGTTCTTCTAAATTTATGACAGATAAAATTAAAAAGCTTCATCAATTGATAAAATTAATAGATTATAATACATGGAGATAAATTTATAATGGACAATTATTAATGAAACAAAATTCTGTGAATATGTATCATGTATCATATAATTTTTCGGATGCGAATTTTTCTTAAGAAACAAATATTCACGTTTTGCCAACCAATTGATTCAATCGTTGCTGCGGTGCGAACGAATTAATAATTCATATTGCTGATTGGAACGTACGGTTGCTTTAATCAAGGCACCTCGTTAACATGATATGGTCGCTATGTATCGTGGTTTTATTTGCGTATTCACAGCATTATAATAATTAAAATGCGAATATGCATTATGCTGAATTATATTAATGCATGCGCATATATCTATGTAAATTGTCTCTAAGAAATCTAAATGTAAGAGCGATCAAAAATATTTAAAAAAAATTTATATCCTTAATAAAAGCTATCGAATTACAAAAAATGCTTTATTATAAGCTGTATATTTAAAAAAAATACTCGTATTTTTTAGTTTATTATCAAGTAAACGTTGGTTTAAAAACGATTTAATTGCAGATTCAAATATGCAGACTCGATAATCGAATGTTCCAATAAGTCTTTTCACTAATTTTTATTTTAAAAAAATCGAAGTTTATTAAAAAATGTTGTTATTTAAATAATAGCAACAACAAAGAAAAATAATTAATTTAAAATTCTCGCCATTTACACTCATATATATATCATGATATAAAAACCATTGATAAGGTGACTAAGGTTAATTAGATTTATGCAGTAAACGATAACGTTTACGATTTTATCGCCCACATATCCAATTTTACAAATCAAATTTAGCAAATCGAGGGAATAAACTTCGCACTTGTGTTTCCCTTTAAAGTCAGACGTTAAGAACAATTTAGTTTCAAAACCGGATTTTATTCTGCGAGTATCGCATTTTACGCGGTCAGCGAATAACTGTATCGATCTAACGGTAAATTTGCCAATAGCCGGGAGAGCAAATATTTTTAGCTCGGTGAATGAAATCAATAAACAGCAGCGAATTGTTGCATAACCACATGTAGCATGATCGCGTAAGAGAGGATCCTAAAAATTCATTCTTCAATTTTCAAAATTTTTATTAAGTTTTGAAAAACACGATGTTGTTTTCGACCCTTTTATATTAGTACATTATTTTTGTGTAAGCTCGCAAAAATATAAAAACAGATTTTTAAATCTATACATATATATATACAATTATTTATTTTTATCTTAGAATTAATATAATATAAATAGAGAATACATATACACGTTTCCATTAATGCAATTTGACAAATATGATAATTAAATTAATTATAATTAAAATATCATATTTAAATATTAATAGTATTTAAATATTAATTTCTTAAATGAAATTAATAGAAAAAGCGTTTTTCTATAATATCGTAATAACCTCGTAAGTACGATCGCAATTATATGCTCAGTCATTAATTAACAAATTAGCAAACGCGTGTATGCAATTGTCGGTCGGCTACGTACTGGAAAATACTCGATTGAGATACGAGCTCTCCATCCCTCCTTTCCCCAAATTCTCTCGGCTTCGACATAGCATATATAGCAGTATTGGTAGATATTCGAGCGATTCAACGGCAAACCTATCGATTATCCGGCCACGTTTCTATCACTCCGTCCATTTGCGAACTGATTCATTATAATTGTAGCGTCAAAGTGACCCGGCCGTGCTGATGTATGCGCGATTTCGCGCGCGTCGCGCTTGTCGTCGCGCCGGTACGTTTACGAGTTTATTTTACGAATAATCCGCCATCCTGAGCCATCACGCGATAAATCCTCGCTCGAGTTTTATCTCGTAATTGAATTTCCCGACGCGGCGGGAGTTACGTTAACGCTCGCGCGTTACGCGAAACGACAGGTTACGTTACAGAGAGCTGATGCTGTAACGTTGCTGTTACAAGCCTTCGCGCTGCCGCTACGCGAAAATTGACCGCGTGCGTTATTTATACACGCTATCCAAAGCGTATTACTTTAATATTGTTTATCATGTTTATGACGCATGCAGTTTATAATATAAATAGCGTAGCATATTACATACGTGAATTTTACGCGGATGCTAGTCTGAGTTTTGTTTTAACGGACGTTGTTTATTTTACCAAGATCGCTATTGTCTCTGCAATATAAACGCTATTTTTGTTATCATTACCTATAAATTAAGCGCAACTCGAACGTATTATTCGGAAATATTTCATATTACGCAAACAAGCATAAATGTGGGATAGAGAATAGGATTTAAATTGCAAGGTATTTAATTATATAATTTTGACACAAAAGTATAATATGCAGATGACACGGCGTTTTGACATGAATGGAAAGAAAATGGCGTTTTACGGTGCTTCTTTGATTTTCCCTTCAATTTAATGAAAAATTAGTAGGTTGTTCAAAGAGGAAAGCACGAGTAGTATATTAAAAATGAAGGGAAACAGGAGTTGCCGCGCTTAAAACCGTCCAGAGTTTATAGTAACATTATTAAACGAATGGTCTAAAGGTAGTTTTAACGACGAGGAAACTTGACACGGCGGACTGTTTTTCTAACCATTCCGGAAGCAGCGAAGAAGGAGAATCCCGCGTTAATAAGCTT